ACTCAAAATGGCCAAAACCAGTCCATTTTAGCTCACTAATCTCTAGGATATCAATCTTAATGAGTTCCATTCCATTTTTTACAACTTCCAATATCCTAGATTCATACTTCATACATTCCATGTTCCAATGATTAATGGATGTCTGCAGCTGTTCCTCCTCAATTGGAGTGGTGCCGCGTCAGCAAATGGAGGTCTCAAAAGCTTTACCTTATCCATATGAGTAAGGCTGGTTTTACTCTGATGATGCAGCTCTTTTCCAGTCCCAATTTGAGAGCCTTCTAACCTAAGTGACTCATCATCCTCTTCTGTATTGGACATTGTTTCCAGGCTATTCATAAAGTTGCACAGTAATGTCATCAGACAGTGTTTCTTTCATAAGGTTTTCCTTGGCTAATTCTTTGAGAAGTGGATGGCTTCTGCCTTCTTCCTAGTCTGTCTCAGTGTGCAAGCTGGGCTGATACCTATGCACCATGTGCACCCCTCTGGGTTTGAAACGCCAGTGGCATAGCCTCGAGACTCACAGCAACACATAACCACAGTAGGACAAACTGACAGACAAGTTTGTCTCCCTTAGCTGTTGGAAACCTCTCCAACCACTCTTACCTGGACCTCTGTGGCTGACTCCTTGCTTTGTCCCAGTTCCCCTGGCCTTTCCTCTCCTTTCTCCCACTTTCCCACCTTGCTGCTTGTGGGGCGTACCCTGGGTTCCGTCTCCTCACCTGGATCCCTGCAGCTGACTCCTCGCTCTGGCCCGGTCCCTCTGGCTTTTCTGTCCTTTCCCCGCTTTCCCACCTTGCCACTTTGGGGCATGGCCTGGGTTCCCTCTCCTCGCCTGGATCCCTGTGGCTGACTCCTCGGTCTGGCCCGGTCTCCCTGGCCTTTCACTCTTCTCCCTCCCACTTTCCCACCTTGCCACTTTGGGGCATAGCCTGGGTTTCCTCTCCTCACCTGGATCCCTGTGGCTGACTCCTTGCTCTGTCCCGGTCCCTGATAATTTTTAAATTATCTTCTGTAAAATTATACTTCCATGTGATATAATAATATTATTTGATCATTTCCACATTCTGTTGGATCATCTTTCTTTGGAATGGGCAGAAATATGCATCTCTTCCAATCAACTGGGCAGGTAGCTTTCTTCTAAATTTCTTGGCCTATCCAAGTGAGCACCTCCAGTGCTGCCTCTGTTTGTTGAAACATTTCAGTAGGTATTCTATCAACTCCAAAATCCTGTTTTTCACCAATTCCTTCACTGCAGCTTTAACTTATTCCTTCAATACTATTGTTTCTTGATCATATGCTACCTCCTGAAAGGATGAACATAGACCAATTCTTTCTGGTACACTGACCCTGTATTCCTTCAATCTTCTTTTGATGTTCCCTGCATTAGTCAACATTTTGCCCATAAGATCTTTCAATATTGCAACTCATGGCTTGAATTTTTTCTTTAGTTCTTTCAGCTTGAGAAATGCTGAGCATGTTCTTCCTTTTTAGTTTTCTAATTCCAGATCATTGGACATTTCATTATAATACGTTACTTTGTCTTCTCTAGGAGCTCTGTGAAATCTTTTGTTCAGCTCTTTTACTTCATCATTTCTTCCATTCACTTTAGCTACTCCCCATTCAAAAGCAACTTGTCAGAGTCTCCTCTGACATCCATTTTGGTCTTTTCTTCCTTTCCTGTGTTTCTAATGACCTTTTGCTTTCTTCATGTGTGATATGTGATGTCATCCCACAACTCATCTGGTCTTTGGTCACTGATGTTCAATGGGTGAAATCTATTCTTCAGATGGTCTGTAAATCCAAGTGGGATAGAATCAAGGTTGTATTTTGGCTCCTGGGGACTTAAGAAGTCTTCAGCTTCAACTTGAACTTGCATATAAGCAATTGATGGTCTATTCCATAGTTGGCCCCTTGCTTTGTTCTGATACTGAGCTTCTCTATTGCTTCTTTCCACAGACGTAGCCAATATGATTCCTGTGTATTCAATCTGGCATGGTTCACATGTATGGTGGCCATTTCTGTTGTTCAAAAGAGGTATTTACAATGAATAAATCATTGGTCTTTCAAGATTCCATCGTGCAGTCTCCAGAGTCATTTCTATCACCAAGGCCATATTTTCCAACTTTCACATTCCAATCACCCATGCTTATTGATTCCAACTTTCACATTCCAATCACCAGTCATTATCAATACATGTTGATTACATCCTTGGTCAATTTCAGATTGCAGAAGTTAATAAAAATTTTCAATTTCTTCATCTTTGGCGTTAGTGGTTGGTATGTAAATTTGAGTAATAGTAGTATAAAATGGTCTTCATTGTTGGCATATGTCTCACTGACAGGGCTGTTGTTGTTGTTGTTATGTGCTGTCAAGTCGATCCCGACTCATAGCGACCCCTCCTTGGGTTTCTGAGGCAGTATCA